AGTTTTCGCCTGGTCATCAAATAAACCATCATGTGGTCTTACGCTATACTGGTGGAAATTATGTGTTTACTGCTGACTAATTCCAGATGCTTTTCCTCGAATGATGATGCTTTCATTTGGTCTAATTGAAAGCATATTTGTTGGAATTGTTTGGTTTTCTTCAGGGAACTCATAAAAGAGGACTCCTTTCCAATCTCACTATATACACAACATCACCCTCTTTGGATGAAGAAGAAAATTTAGCAATACTTATCACAAAGCAAGCTGTAAGAGATGCACTGTTGCTCTACAAACATAGATTTTTCTTCCTCATCATCAGAACTTTGCGAGACCTCTTCCACCTCTCTTGGTTTCCTTACCCCAGCACTCATTGCAGGAAAATCCTGAAGGCTTTGATGTGGTTGTTGGCAGTTCATTTCACTTGCCCCACATTCTCTTCCATCCACCTTATCACACAGTATCCACTTTTCACCACTCCTGACAATTTGTTTTAAAAACAGAATGTTTTCATTATGTTTAAGTAGAGAATGATATGCAGAAATACAGCCAAGAAGTTTTTGTGGGTTTTTTTTCACTTAAGTGGAGCCCAAACATCAAAGCAACTAACATAACCAAGTTGGTGCAAACAATTTTCAATGCTTAATTTGGATACCCTGAGTATGTTGGCTATCTCCCATGTGCTATAATGTTTACTGTTCTCAATGAATGTCTCGGTTTTATCAACTTCAACTGGTCTACCCAACTTTGGATCATCATTCAGGGAGAAATCTCCAACACGAAACTTTGCAAATCACTTTTGACACAGTCAGTCACAGATCCTCTTCCATACACTATACAAATCTTTTTTCCCCCCCATTTGAGTTGCGTTTTTACCTTTCTGGAAACGATAAAGCATAATAACATGATGAAAATGTTGCTCTTTTTCTTCCACATTCAATATTAAAATGGCTACACAAAAATTCATCACTTTTGATGTTTTTTTAATTCACACTGATACGACAGCTGTCACAACACAATCTAACCAACTGTATCCAATAAAGTTAAAGACAGCTAAATACTACTAGAGCCACCATATGGAAAACTGAACAAACATTTTGGCCAAGCCAATATTTTTGAATCCATCTCATTGAAGTTCTCTTCCTTGTGCCCCAGCTTAGGTTGTGTCTGTGGTTGCAGCAGTGTGGGACAGAAGGAACTGGATATGGTACACACTCCATCCTTCTTCCTTTCCTGGTTTTCCTCCTCTGTCAGGGTGGGAATGAGGGAGAAAGGAGGTGATGCTGTTCTCAGCCAGCTATTGGTAGAGAAAGTGGCTGTTCTCATCTTCATTGCTCGTGACTTTTTCCCTTTCGGGAGCAAATTCACAGGGATCTTGAAAGGTGCAGATGACCCTTCTTTTTGGCTGCCTCTGTTTCGCTGTCTGCCTCTGGAAGTGTTAGACTTTTCTTTCTAAAGGCCAGTTTTTAAATGCAGGCTCTCCTGTACAGGTTGTTTGCAGCTCTCGGTGGGGGCGGGCTGGTGCTCTGTGGACTGCCCTCTCCCCAGTCCCCTAGCTGGGAGGCCCAGTTGAGGCTGGACATCTTCCTCTTCCCTCAGAGGCCCCTCTCCCCTCAGTGGTCCCCTTAGAGGAATCAGCAGGAAGGTCTAAGCCACAGGCACCTTCAGGAGGTTCACCCTGCCCGAGGGAGAATCCCCTGTATCACAGTGGGAACGCAGCTCACCCACACTTCCTCTCTCAGATCCACCAACTCTCACCTACCCCTTTCTCCACAGCCAGCCTCATTGGCCTTAGAACACTAAGTTCTATACAGGTCCAGATGTTCAGAGATTACAGAAGTGAAATAAACTGCCCTCCCAACTTTGAGACGAGGGCAAGGGAACAGATGTTGGGCTTTCCCAGTATTTTAGGAAGGAGCGGAACGAGTCAAATGACCTTCTTGTGAGGAGGGGTTAGAGGAGCAAGAGCTGAGAGTACCCAGAATCAGTACTCCCTTCCCAGTGCCTCTCCTGAGTCTCATGCACCATCCCTTCACTTCTCACTGATGAAGGCCGTTAGACTCCATCTGCACCTGGAGACACACAGGAAGGCCTTCATCAAGGACTAAACTTTCTCAAACAAGGTTTGTAAGAATCTAGCAACACAGCAGAGTGCCATCTCTACTGCAAAACCAAAGTTGGCTGGTAACTTCCAGTGACATGAAAATATGCTGTTTCAGACCAATCTGCCTCATTCAGAAAAACAAAACAGGAACCTGGCAATGTCAGTACGTGGTGGTTAACACTGGTACTTATTGTCCTTGTCTTGACTGGGAACTCTGAGAAAAGAGACTACGTGTTGTTAAATTCATTTCAATTCACTCTAACAATTATCAGCTAAAAACTTTATGTGCCCTAGATACAAAGCTAGCCATGACCTCAAAGAGCTCATGCTCTAGTGTGGGAGAGAACAAGGAACCAGATGATTCAGGAAGGATGAAGGGAGCATCACAAATGGGCATCCCAGAAGAAGGGACCTCTAAACTTGTCCTCCCAGGCTGAATAAATAAGAGTCAGCCTGGCAAAGAGAGCTTCAAGTAGAGGAGGGAACACAGCCAAAGACCTTAGCTACCAAGCAGACTAGTGCATTGGGGAAACTGATGGGGGTTCAATCTGACAAAGAGAAGAGCACTGGGGGTGACAGGCAGAGACTAAGGGGTGCAGAGAAAGCTGAGCCTGAAGAGGCAGATGGAGCCAGGGACGAGAAGTACTTGTGGGCCATGTCAATGACTGTGGACTTTCTCTAGGATCCTGAGGAGCCATGAATAGGCTTGAAACAGCAGAGGAACTTAATATGCTTTCAAGCTTGGGAAGATTATGCTGGCTGCACCGAGAGAAAGAATTGGTTAGGAGGAAGAGTGGAGTCAGAATGATCTATTGGGAGGCTAGTGGCCTGGGCTAAAGTTTTATCAGAGAGACAGACAGGAACATGAAGACCAGACATATGAAGCACGCTTTGACAATTGATAGAATGTAGTGATTGGAGGAGAACATGCAAGTATGATGTCCAGGTTCTGGTTGGAGCACTTGATGCGTAGTAGTGCTACTCTCAAAGCTAGATGACCCCAGGGGTAAAGCAGGTATGGCTCAGGGAATAGCAAGGTGATGTATTAAATCTTGTACATTATTTATATACCACTCACAACAATCCTGTAAGACAGATAACACTCTTCCCATCTCATAAACGGAGACATTAACAAAAAGCCATAAAGTCAGGAAGAAGACTAACTCCTCTTGGCTGCAAGAGTCCCCCAGAACAAGGAATCCTCAACAGGCCAAACTGCCAAGACCAGCGTGGGGTTGATCATCATTCGTATCACCCTGGAAGCTCGCACTTCTTGTTTAGGGGAACAAAGGAAGAAAATCCAAGAGAGATCACCCAGAGTCATTTCTGTCCATCTCAAATTCCCCACCAGACTGGGTTGGGGCCCGGACTTTCTTTAGCTCCACCACACCATTTGCCAGCATTTTACCCACAGTTAAAACAGTCCCCGTACATAGGGAGGAAAATCAGGCAAAAGGCAGCATTTCCCCTTACGGGAGAATTGTCCCCACCTACTCCCTAGCCTCACCTTGCACACCCACGGCTTCTTGGTCACTGCTGAAGTCTTAGCGTCATAGCAATGCCCACTCCTCTTGCTTCTTCTAGCAATCATGCCAAAAAGAAGTACCATGCCATCACAATTGTTAAACCACTGCTCTCGGCTCAGAGCTGGGAGAGCTGGGCTTAGATCAACTCATGCTCTCTGACATCTGTAACTTCCAGAATTTTTGGAGTATGCAGGCCTCAACATTCTTCCTTTCTCTGCAAATGCAATCAACTGCCAGATCTGCGTCAAACACCTACCATATGCTGGCCATCATGCCTGGAGCAATGGAAAGCTCAAAGATAAAGAAGACTCATTAACAGCCAGGGCAGTTTTGCAGCCAGGACAAATTAAAGTCATAAATTCAAAAGAAGGGGAAACCAAACATTTTTGAGCACCCACTATATGCCAGATACTATATGAGTGTTTTTCACAGGGCATGTCATCAATCCTCACAATAAGCCATAATACAGAACTTATTTTCCATGTTGTACATACAGTGGAAGAGACCCAGAGTGGCAAAGACACAGACCTTGAAGAAATCCATTTCTCTTCTTCCTGTTCATATATGTAAACTCCCTTTCCTAGACCCCCTTGTAGGTATGGTTGTAAGTACGAGTCCTAACTAGCAGAAGCCCTGGCCCACAAAACCCTGTGTGAGTCTTCATTTTACCTCATCTCTGTCTTAGCCAGAGGAATCCTGGAAGTCACAGGTTGAAGATGACATGTTAAATGATTTCTAGAGTCACTGCATAGATAGAGTACTGTCTCACTGCACTTTGAGAAGTAAAATTCTACTATCAGAAGCCACAAAAGTTTAAGGTTTACCCATTATTGCAGCTAAAATTTGCTGACGGCTTAACACCACCAGTTTATTTCTGGTTCACAGTACATGTCCAGTGTAGATCCCCAGGACTTTGACATATATCACTTCTGGTCATATTTCTTTAGTCAAAGAAAGTAATATCACTACATTTAAACTCAAAGTTAGAGGAAATATAATTCTACCATATATCTAGAAAGCAAAGATCTGGAGATATCTGATAAACAGTGCTCACGGCTACTTAAAAATAAGGAAGTCCTGGATATCAAAGCAGAGAAATATACGCTCATTTGGGAAATATTTGTGAGACCTGGGTTCGATCCCCGAGTCAGGAAGATCCCGTGGAGGAAATGGCAACCCACTCCAGTACTCTTGCCTAGAAATTCCATGGATGGAGGAGCCTGGTGGGCTACAGTCCATGGGGTGGCAAAGAGTCAGACACGACTGAGCGACTTCATTTCACTTTATTAGAGGATTAAACATCTGAATCTTTTAAGAAGCAGAAGTCCTTATTTTTGCCAGATATGGGGCAGAATTATAGACCAAAACCCTCACTAGAGCCTTTGAAAAGGTAATTTGTATATGGATATGTTTTGGGAATTATAGGAATGTGGTATCCCAGATGGTAAAGAATCTGCCTGCAATGTGGGAGACCTGGGTTTGATCCCTGGGTTGGGAAGATCCCCTGGAGGAAGGCACAGCAACCCATGCCAGTACTCTTGCCTGGAGAATCCCATGGACAGAGGAAACTGGTGGGCTACAGTCCATAGGGTCGCAGTGTTGGACAGGACTGAGAGATGAAGCACAGCACATATACCGTTTTCTTTTACACAAGAATTACATAATATTTGTCTTTGGTTCTGGACTCCAACAAATTCAGACTCTGTTCTCAGGAAGGATGTCGTATTGAAGAAGTCATCTGGCCCTACGTTAGCCTTTATCATGTGTAAGAGAAAAATGATAGAAACAGGCATCTTATAAATTTTTCAGGTTAAGTATTATTCTAGCACAAGATGCAGAGCTCCAAAGATAGCAAGGAGAGATAAGAAAGCCTTCCTCAGTGATCAATGCAAAGAAATAGAGGAAAACAATAGAATGGAAAAGATTAGCGATCTCTTCAAGAAAATTAAGAGATACCAAGGGAATATTTCATGCAAAGATGGGCACAATAAAGGACACAAATGGTATGAACCTAACAGCAGCAGAAGGTATGAAGAAGAGGTGGCAAGAATACACAGAAGAACTATACAAAAAGATCTTCATGACCCAGATAACCATAAGGGTGTGATCACTCACTTAGAGCCAGATATCCTGGAATGCGAAGTCAAGTGGGCCTTAGGAAGCATCACTACAAACAAAGCTAGTGGAGGTGATGGAATTCCACTTCATCTGTTTCAAATCCTAAAAGATGATGCTGTGAAAGTGCTGTACTCAATATGCCAGCAAATTTGGAAAACTCAGGAGTGGCCATAGGACTAGAAAAGATCAGTTTTCCTTCCAATCCCAAAGAAGGGCAATGCCAAAGAATGTTCAAACTACCGCACAATTACACTCATCTCACACACTAGCAAGGCTTCAACAGTGAATTGAGAACTTCCAGATGTTCAACCTGGATTTAGAAAAGGCAGAGGAACCAGAGATCAAATTGCCAACAACCATCGGATCATCAAAAAAGCAAGAGAATTCAAAAAAAAAATCTACTTCTGCTTTATTGATTACACTAAAGTCAACTAAAGCCGTTGACTGTGTAGAACACAACAAGCTGTGAAAAATTCTTTCAGAGATGGGAATACCAGACCACCTGACCTGCCTCCTGAGAAATCTGTATGCAGGTCAGGAAGCAACAGTTAGAACTGGACATGGAACAACGGACTCGTTCCAAGTTGGGAAAGGAGTAAGTCAAGGCTGAATATTGTCACCCTGCTTATTTAACTTATATGCAGAGTACATCATGCAAAATGCCGGGCTGGATGAAGCACAAGCTGGAATCAAGACTGTTGGGAGAAATATCAATAACCTCAGATATGTAGATGATACCACCCTCATGGCAGAAAGTGAAGAGGAACTAAAGACCCTCTTCATGAAGGTGAAAGAGGCGAGTGAAAAAGCTGGCTTAAAACTCAGCATTCAAAAAACGAATATTGTGGCATCCAGTCCCATCACTTCATTTCAAATAGACAGGGAAACAATGGAAACAGTGACAGACTTTATTTTCTTGGGCTCCAAAATCACTGCAGATGGTGACTGCAGCCATGAAATTAAAAGACACTTGCTCCATGGAAGAAAAGCTATGACAAACCTAGACAGAAAGAGACATTATTTTGCCAACAAAGGTCCGTCTAGTCAAAGCTATGATTTTTCCAGCAGCCATGTATAGATGTAAGAGTCGGATCATAAATAAGGCTGAGCATCGAAAAACTGATGCTTTCAAACTGTGGTGTTGGAGAAGATTCTTGAGAGTCCCTTGAACTGCAAGATAAAATCAGTCAATCCTAAAGGAAATCAATCCTGAATATTCATTGGAAGGATGGATGCTGAAGCTGAAACTCCAATACTGTGGCCACCTGATGCCAAGAGCTGTCTCATTAGAAAAGACCCTGATGCTGGGAAAGATAGAAGGCAGGAGGAGAAGAGAATGACAGAGGACGAGATTGTTGGATGGCATCACCAACTCAAGAGTTTGAGCAAGCTCCAGAAGATGGTGAAGGACAGGGAAGCATGGCATGCTGCAGTCCATGGGGTCACGAAGAGACGGACCAACTAAGCAACTGAACAACAACAAATGATTTAATACATGTAAAAGCCCTTAGTAAATTATTTTTAAAAATTATTAGCCACTGTTAAACATTCAAGCTTTCATAAACATATATACATTCTTTATAGTGCTGTTTGTAATAGAAAATTTGAAATTCTTTACTGCTTCATCAATGTAAAAATTATCACATGTGTGTGCAGAGAGCCAGAGCAGAAGAAAGAATACCAGAAGTTTATTTTTTTTAAATAACACAAAATCATATATATTGATCTGGAAAGATATCCATAATATAATGTGGAATTGTGGAAGTACAAAAGCAAGTTGCAAAATACAATGCATAGCTTGGTTTCAAGAGTGTGTGTTAGGAAGCATTTAACAAGAGGCTTCCTGTGTGCTGTTTCGGATCTGTCAGGAACCCTCTGGCCCTTACTGATTCCTGAATATTCAGGAATTAAGAGGAGAGGCACGCCTTTCCTGGGGCTGAGGAATCCAGGCATTTCTCATTAAGGTGATAAGTACCCTCTTCCTTTTTATGAGCCCTACGGTAAAAGGTGATTGTCTGCAACTCTCTCTCTTTGATAGGGATCGTCTTATGTTTTGTAAGTCTGGAATTTTAATCTTTATCTTTGCTGAGAATAACCACCTTGTAAGACAGCATATATGCCCACGCCATGTTGATTAAAACACCTTTGCTCCATCAGAGCTTTGGTCCCCGTGTCTTTCTTTCTTTCTATTCCTTCTTTCTCTCTCTCTCTCTCTATTTCTGGCTAATTCCTTGGAGCGCGGAGGCCCGCTGAGCTCACTTTCTTGCCCGGGCTTCTAAGACCCTCTTGAGAAGGCGCACTGCGCCTTCACCCACTCAGCGTGCCCGGTGCCTACGTGCAGCAGCGCCGCCCTAAGAACAGGGCTCTATTGGCTTTCCACGTAAACCAGGGGTATCAGCCTCTCTCTCTCACTCTCGGAACCACCAGGTTCCGGTCCATTAAAGGACCAACAAGTGTGTATATGTATACAAACTGCGATAAGTATATCAAGTCATAATAAGTCCTATAAAATATATTAAAGATTATGTCATAGAGAGCAATTGGTTGGGAATGGGATGCTATTTCAAACTAGGTGATCAGAAAGGGTTTCTCTGAGCTGAGCTGTGAATGATTAAAAAATTATAAATAAAAAAGTAATCACATCCCAGCACCCAGATATTGGTATGTAACACTATTCTTAAATAAAACAACAACAACAAAAATAGGAGTCCTTGGAGAAATGACCGATTCTGCAATGGCAGAAAATGAGGAGGATGAACCTGCAGCATGATGTAGTACCAAAAAGTAAGAAAATGCTCAAGAAACAAAAGACTGGAGGCATGTCCAAGGGATATAGGAGCTGACTAAAAGAGCTCCCAAGGCCAAAGCTGGAACACTCAGCAGCAAAATGGGAAAGTTAGTGTTGGAGTCGCCCCAAAGTGTAAGCTAATATATATGAGTCCATACTTACATCAATGAGTAAATTAACAAATGCGGGAAGACAGACAAATCTCCCATAGTAAGAAACTGCAGATGACCCACATGGATACTGTGCCCTCAAGGAAGTAGAGCGTAATTCCGTAACGCTTTGAGTGTGGGCTGAGCAAAGCAGCTTCCTTTCGGACAGCAGAGTATCGAAAAGGGGGGACATGGTTAACTTTAAAGGAAGCAATCTGACAAGCATCATCTCAGCCAAGTGATCAAGCTTAGGATCATCAGTGATAAGTCACACTGATAAAAGGTACCCTTGGTATAATGAGAACAGTGTATCACCTCTACAGTCTTCCTCTCAAAACCTATGACCCCAGTCTAATTATAGAAAAACATCAGATAAATCCCAACTGAAGCAATGTCTATGAAAAAAACCTGACCTCAGAACTATCCAGATCATCAAAACCGAGGGAAGTCAGAAATTGTCACAGAACAGAGGAGCCTCAAAAAACAAAACCAAAAAAACCCCACAAAAAACAAAAAACCACTCAATGTAATGTGGTATCCTGAACGGGGTCCTTGAACAACAACAGAAAGTCCTTAGAGGAAAACAGAGGAATTCAAATTATAAAGGACTTTACTTAATATTGTTTCAATATTGGTTTCATAGTTGCAATAAATGTACCATACTAAATCAGGGAAACTACTATCTTTGCAACTTCTCTGTTAATCTTAACAAAAGAAGTTATTTTTCAAATTGAACAGGAAAAGAGATAAACTGTGATATATTCATGCAATTAAATACTATTCAACAATTAAAAGAAACAGATTAATAATAACTGTTATAACATAGCTGTATCTTAAGGATATTGTACTAAGTAAAACAAGCAAAACACACCAAAATTACATACTGTATGATTCCATTTACAAGGAATTCTATTATAGGCAAAAATAGCCTATGGCAGTAGGTGTGAAATCAGTGGTTATTTGGGGAATACCATGTAGGCAAGAACTGACTAGGAAGAGACATGAGGAAATTTTCTGGGTTGGTGGAAATGTTTGGTGTCTTGATGTATATTTATCAAAATTTCTTGAATGGGATATTTAAGATCTAAATTTAAAATATATATTAAATATATTATAAATATATTTTTATATAATAAATATTCTATAATACAGATAATTATATAAATAAATATTACATATCTATACATAACATAGATATTTAAAATACTATTTTAATTTATAAAATATATCATAAATTATATATTTTAAATATATAAAATATTTTAAAATTTAAAGTATACTAAATCAATTTTAAAACATTATAATTTAAAATATATAAACATAACTAAAATTTTAAAGTATATAAAACCAATTTTAACTATTAAATTGTGGAAGGAAGGAAGAAAGAGAGGGAGAGAGGGGAAAAAAGGAGAGAGGGAAAAGATATTTTTGAAGCCTAGGACATTTGCATTATAAGAAAAATTAAAATTGTGTAAAAATTATGTTTAATTCATTTATTTAGACAAAAGCACTTGTTTTTAACCTTCCAGACACAAACATAACAAAAATGGGATTTTATTGCTTATATTAGTTTGTAGTCATTTTCTAAATTAACCATATAGCTTATAATTTTCCTTCAATAACACAGCACCTACTGGAATACAAACATTGTACAATACTATTTTATCATATAACCTTGTAGAGATATGTGGCAAAACCTGCTGGCTCCCTCATTGGTGATACTTCAAGGGGCACTTGGGCAGGAATAGTTTTAAAGAAATCAGTGACTAGATAAACCATATCTATTTGGATACTTTCCTAAAATGGAAATGCATTGATAATGCATCTTCGGTCACGGTAAGGCTTTGGGCTTATCTTTTGGGTCCCCACTTTCCCTTTCAAAGTCACTCTTTTCTCTCTGTCAATAGAAAGACACACTTCTCATCCACCCTGAGGATGGTGATGATGATAGTGGTGGTGGTGTCGATGATACAGGTCGTCAAAAGGGAAAATTCAAACTGTTGGTGTCAACTTTGTGATAACCAATGAAGCTAATAACTCCATAACAAACTCCTTTACAAGTCAGGTGGTTTTCTATTGTTTTCAACAAAACTGAGAGTGAGTTGTCAACTGAGAGAGGATTAAAAATAATGTTTGACAGTAGACTGTAATTTTTCACATTCTCTCAAAAGAGTCCAGGGAATTGAGTAACATTGTTCTAAAATAATTCCATTTCCATTTATTTATGGAACAAGGTTTTTCAGTGCCTGAATCTATGAAAATAAAATCAGAAATATAGTTGATGTTATGCTTATACTTCCTATCACTAGTAGTCATACACAGATACAGAAATTAATTTTTTAAAAGCCTCATCCCTCTTGTTAAGATACATTTTTGTTTCATATTTGCCAAAATATATGCTATGCTTTTACTATTTTAATTAATTGTATAGCACCAATAGCTACAATGATAATTCAAAGAAACATTTTAATACTTAAAGTTTCCATTTCTATAAATGTTATTTATAGATAACAATAAAGTGATCAATAAAAATGCTGAAGCAGGAAAATATATATTAGAAAAAATCTTTAGAGGAAGCAGAATGAGAAAAGGAATGATAGAAATTTCCAGCTGTTTAAAAACTTGTTTATTTTTTAGATGGAGGATGGTGGCTATCAATTTGCTATGGTATTTACATTCCATTGGACATATTTTAATAGGTAACACAAGAGTTTGTTTTTACACCAATATTTACAATGAGCCAGAAATTTTATTCTTCACATTCATATATGACTGTGATAAAAAATAAAAGCTAAAAATTTCAGGGACAATCTAAAACTGCACAAAGTAGTCTATAATTTTTCAAAATTCTTTTAAGGGATATGGTGAGCAAAAATGTTTGAAGACCTTACACCTGCCCAACACATATTCACTCATTCTTCCTTTTATTACTTACACCAGAATTGCTGGCAATGTGCCCAGCTGAAAATCCACCCTTCCAAGTCTCCTGGCAAATACGTATGGACAAGTGACTAAATGCCAGCTAATGACAGACCAAATTTTGCCATTCCCGCTTTCCACATGAGGTATGAATACAATGGCTGGAGCTCCAGCAGCCACTTCTGACCACGCACTAAGAACTGCAGTATTGAAAGACAGAAGAAACCTGGGTTCCAGATGACTGTCACTGCTCTTTACCAACACCAAACTCCCTACATCCAAGTTTCTTTTAGGGGAGAAGAATAAATCCATACATGTCTAAGTCACTATTATTTGGGGATTCTTGTTATACACAGCCAAATATGGTCCTGCCTGGTAGAGGGGCTACAGCATGTTTCATATAATCAATCAATTATTAAACATTCAGGTTTTTCAGATTTTTCTATTTATTATAAACCATACTGTGATCCTTATTAGATATATCTTCAGACACATACATAATAATTTTTCTAGGAGACAGTCTCAAAAAGCAAATTCTGGGTCAAAAAATGTCTTGCTACATACTGCATTTTTTTCTTCACAAAGGTTAATTTACACCCACATCAATGATGTATGAGATGACAAGAACTCCGCATTACTTCATCATCATTGGATAGTCTCTCTTAAATATTGCAACGTGACAGAAAAGGTTTATTTGTACTGTTTGTTAACTAATAAAGTTATGCTCTTTTCCAGTGGCATTTCTTAATGACATTCTATTTTTTTAATTTAGAAAAAGAGTTAAAAATATTTTGCTCCAGATAAGTTAGGGTTGGATAACTAGAGGCAAGGCTACCTTTGAGGTATCCGTTTATATAAAGCTCCATGGCAACACAGCAGTTGTTCTGTGCTTGGCACATAGTAGGCACTCACTAAATAATCGTTGGACATATGAAAGCTGCCCTCTTACTCTGTGACTCTGAGCAGTTAATTTTCCGCTCTGGGCCTCAGTTTTCTGTTTAATAAACTAATGGGATTAGATGAGTCTACATCATGGTCTTTTTCAACAATTTTTTATTCGAAGAAAGTCAGATCCAAGTAATGCTTACAGAGTGTCAAGTGGAAAATACTCCCTTCCTTCAGGGCTATTTATATTTGTTGGAAAGACCCAGAGGCACAAGGGGATAAAATAAATAGACACTAAGAATTTGCATTCTTTTTTGTTTCTCTTCGATGGTACTAGAACACAAAAGCATTAAAAAGGCAGTAATCCTCTCAGGACTGGGAGGACACCCAAACTCCAGCCTAACATGTATATCGTCTCATTCTGCTGGAGTCCAGAATTTGGGAAGCCTGGGTTTAACTGGGCAAGTACGAGTACATGAGAGGCAATGATACAAGTCCCGCAGGACCGACTGAGATAAGATAAGGTACATGCCCTGCACACAGATGCAGCACAGCCAATGGTAATTCCCATGGTCGTACCCAGTCTCAAATACCATGGCGTCAAGCAGTGGTGGCAGTTGGTTTTTTCCTTGAAAAGCCCCCACAGTGGGATTGGTCATGATTTTGGCTTCATACATTTCAGATTCTTGTTCTCTGGCCCTCCTGGAGAGTCTGAGAGTTTCCTAAAACCCTTTCAAAAATTCCTTTGCTACTTAAATGAGCCTGAGTCGATTCTGCCGTCTGCAACTGAGAACCAGGACCACTAGAGCTCCTGTTGGCCGCTACATTTTAGCCTAAATCTCCAAAGTGAAACGTGAAAGTCGCTCAGTCCTGTCTGACTCTTTGCGACCCCATGGACTATACAGACCATGAAAGTCTCTAGGCCAGAACACTGGAGTGGGTAGCCTTTCCCTTCTCCGGGGGATTTTCCCAACCCAGGGATCGAACCCAGGTCTCCCACATTGCAGGCGGATTCTTTACCAGTTGAGCCACCAGGAAAGCCCAAAATCTCCAGAGGAGAACTTTACTGAAAAGAAGCTCTTGTCTGCATGCAGTTCAGCTCCCATCCCAATTCTATCAAATACGGATTCAAATTCTGCCCTAGTCAGTATCTGTGTAAATTGTCTTCTCAGCTCAGAAACCCCTTAGAAACAGAGGCAGTCTGTTGAAGCCTAGTACAAGATGACCAAAGGAATGAGTGGGGATGAGGAGATAAGGTCCCAAGTCCACCACTGGAAATCCACATAGCCTGAGACACATCCCTTCAATACTGTGAGCCTGGGTTCCCCAGCCTGTGAAATGAGAGGAGAGCATCTGGCACAGGGAACTGATGTGAGATCAAAAGAGCAATAGATATGAAGATACCTTGTCAACTGTAGGTCTAACAAACAACTTATATAGTGTCTTTTTCCATTGATCTTCCACGAAAGGCAGGCACTGGATCTTCGTGATCAGGTCTCTTGCACTGGAGGAGGGGGAAGCGGGGGTGGGAGGAGGGGTTGCAGGGCCAAAACATGGGTCATATCGCCCTCTGGTGGATTGAAATGGAAAGGGTATCATTTTCAAATGGGCGGCAAAGCTACAAAAACAGAACTCACCGAATCCTAAAATTCCAGAAGTGAAAGGGAGCTTTGAGACCATTTAATCTAACATCCCCATTTAAGTATGGGACAATAATAAAATTCCAAGAGGACAAATAACTTTCCTGAGGTCTTACCAAGAATAAAGCTCAGAGCCAGGGCCAGATCCCAGCCTGTAAGGCCCATTCAGAGCAAGAACATTCTCTCTGACATGAGACACAGAAACCCTCAGTGGTCAGCGTCCGCATGGCCTTGAACTCTCCACACAGCTCTAGGATGTTGTCAGCAAGTAGCACTTTAGCTGAACTCTGCCCAAGATTGGGTGATTTCCCCACCCAGTTTTATTGTCAAAAAGTTGTTACTTTTTAAAACCTACCATGTCAATGTTTTGATTTCAACACAAACAGACCAAGCTATGGTTATGGCAACTTCTTAGAAACTTAGAAAATATTCTCAAGCATGACTGGGTAATTCTAAGAGAAAAGAACAACAGAATGTCTAACTTCTCCAGGAACTACAAAAACTTTTTTTTTTCCCCAGACCAATCTCTCCCACAGGTGGTTATCTATGAAGATAAAACAGTCCAAAGAAATAAAACACAAATTACCTTCACCTTAACACAACTGCCAACCTAAGTCTGACTCATATAAGACCCTGCTTTCTAATGGTGCCCAATTAGCCATCTTAATAAATGCTAAAAAGAAGCAGATGATACCACCCTTATGGCAGAAAGTGAAGAAGAACTAAAGAGCCTCTTGATGAAAGTGAAAGAGGAGAGTGAAAAAGCTGGCTTAAAGCTCAACATTCAGAAAACTAAGATCATGGCATCCAGTCCCATCACTTCATGGCAAATAGATGGGGAAACAGTGGAAACAGTGAGAAGCTTTATTTTGGGGGGATCCAAAATCATTGCAGATGGTGACTGCAGCCATGAAATTAAACGACCCTTACTCCTTGGAAGGAAAGGTATGACCAACCTAGACAGCATATTAAAAAGCAGAGACATTACTTTGCCAAAAAAGGTCCATCTAATCAAGGCTACGGTTTTTCCAGTAGTCATGTATGGATGTGAGAGTTGAGACTATAAAGAAAGCTGAGCACCAAAGAATTGATGCTTTTGAATTGTGGTATTGGAGAAGACTCTTGAGAGTCCCTTGGACCACAAGGAGATCCAACCAGTCCATCCTAAAGGAGATGAGTCCTGGGTTTCATTGGAAGGACTGATGTTGAAGCTGAAACTCCAATACTTTAGCCACCTGATGCAATGAGCTGACTCACTGGAAAAAAAAAAAAAAAAAAAAAAAACCCTGATGCTGGGAAAGATTGAGGGCAGGAGGAGAAGGGGATGACAGAGGATGAGACGGCTGGATGGCATCACCGACTCAGTGGACATGAGTCTGGGTAAACTCCGGGAGTTGTTGATGGACAGGGAGGCCTGGCATGCTGCGGTTCATAGGGTTGCAGAGTCGGACACGACTGAGTGAACTGAACTGAACTGAACTGAACTGAAAAAGAAGTGAGTCGTGCTGGATCTTTGCCATGGAAAAACATCCCATTCAAGCCAATTCTTAGAAGTCTCTCTCTCTTTTTTTTTTTAACCTCTAAATCCCTCTGGGATCTGAACACGGCACAAGGAAGACTTCGCTCAAGACAGGGCTCAAATAAGCCCCCAGAGTTCTGTCCCCAGAGAGAGCACGTGGGTCTTTGAATAACTCACGTGCCCCCCCAGCACTCCCATGGGTAGCAAGGGCACTTGGCCAGCAAGTCCTGCCAGTCTTTCAGGGTTAGGGAGAGAATCTAGTGGACTTCATCCCAGATCATCCATTTTAATCCCCCACAATGGACTAGCCTGAGTATTCCTACCATGCCTAGACAGGGTCCTGAAGTTTAACCTGATTCAATCCTCTATTTTTACTCAGCAATAGCAGTATCTGGTATTGAGTATTTACAGTAATGCTCTTCTAAGAGGTTTTACATGGCTTAACCCAGCTCCCACTAAAACTCTATACAGAAGGTGTTATTAATCATCCCCATTTTAGAGACAGAAAAAGTGTGGCTCTCAAAAGCCAACTCACCTGAGATCAAACAGCTAATAAGTGAGAGTCAGAATTTGAAGCTAAATTCAAATTCACTGGATTTAGTAGCCATCCTTTTAAATCCAGCCCCACTTGGAAGATAATCTTTACCATCTCTTAGCTAACTCATAGCAGGGAGTGGACCTCAATCCAAAATTGAAGGTCAGAATCACAACAAGTTCTGTTTGAGTTTGAGCCCAGTGTCTTCCCAAAGGCACCTCTACACTGAATTTTCAAGCTCATTTTAAACATTTTTGTCCTCACTCTGCTTCCTTCTAGCAGCATAGGTATCTGTAATCACAGTCAGATAGAAAGTGATACCACATTGTGAGCACATTTGGTGTTTCCTCCTCCTGGAGGTAATATGATATTTTTAGGAAAAATGAAGGTTTTGCAGTCAGACAGACCAGGATTTGAGACCCAACTCTGCCATCTCTACCTGCTTGTCCTTGGATATTTACAGGAATCCCCCCATATCTATGGGGGGAATGCCTGAAACCACAGATAGAAACCTGTTTTCTGTTCAGGTCTTTCACCCACAAATTTAATGCCTTTTCAATCTTAACTAAGCATTTATCAGACACTCTGGCTGTAACCTTTGCAGTTTGAGGTGTGACAGCAAAACAAGCACAAATTTCTTTTTCCTTCTTCACAGTTTCAGGGATGGAAGGTTCTTTCTTACCATAGATCTTAGCAGTGTCAGCAAATGACACTTTTTCCTTACTAGGTAAGGAACTTTCTCCTTTCACCTATAGGAAGTACTTTATCGCTTCTCTTTGGCAGATCCAAATGGCTGGCATCACTCCTCTTGCACTTTGGGGCCATTATAAGAAAAAAAAAAAATGGTTCCTTGAAATAAGCATTGTGACATCATGACAGTCAATCTGATCACCAAGAGGGCTACTAAGTGACTAATGGGTGGGAATGGAAAAGGTTGGACAAAAAGATGAATCACCTTCTGGGTGGATTTACCTCCTGGGTAGGTCAGGGCTGACAGCTCGAGTTTTTATCACATTACAGTTTAAAACTTATGAATTGTTTACTTCTGGAATTTTCCATTTTAACATTCTCAGATCATGGCTGACCCATGGGTAACTCAAACTTCTGAAAGCAAAACTACAGATAAAGTGGGGACTACTGTATTCCCTCCGGTTTTCATTCTTCTCACCTTGGAAAATGTGAATAATAATATCAACATTATCCTGCTGATATGACAATCAGTTCACACCTGTCTATAGTAGCTAGCAGTGCCTGGCAGGCATGCAGCGGGCACAGAAGACCCAGCAGCAGTCAGCAGGCCACCCAGCTACTGGTGCTGTTTAGTTGCTAAGTTGTGTCCAACTCTGCGACCCAACAGACTGCAGCACACCAGGCTTCCCTGTCCTTCACTATCTCCCTGAATTTATTCAAACTCATGTCTATTAATTCCATCATGCCATCCAACCATCTCATCTTCTGTCACCCCCTTTTCTTCCTGCCCTCAATCTTTCCCAGCATCAAGGTCTTTTCCAATGAACTGGCTCTTCACATCAGGTAGCCAAAGTATTGGCACTTCAGTATCAGTCCTTCCAATGAATATTCAGGGTTACTTTTCTTTAGGATGGACTGGTTTGATCTCCTTGCAGTCCAAAGGACTCTCAAGAGTCTTCTCCAACACCACAATTCAAAAGCCTCAATTCTTCGGCACTCAGCTTTCTTTATGTTCCGACTCTCACATCCATACATGGCTACTGGAAAAACCGCAGCTTTGACTATATGGACCTTTGTAGGCAAAGTGATATCTCTGCTTTTTAATATGTTATCTAGGTTGGTCATAGCTTCTCTTCCAAGGAGCGAGCATCTTTTAATTTCTTGGCCTGCCCAATGCAAACACTTACTTTCTTCCTTTGCCAAGCCCGGCAGCAACAGAGGTGGTGATGGACCTCAGGATAGGAGTGGACACAGCCCAGGGGCAAGAGGCATTACACAATGAGATGTGCATGGGCTTTAGACTGATTCCCAGTTCTGCCATTTTAGGCTTGACTTTGCTCAGTCTCATTTCCTTTGCTATAAACAGAGGCAATAAATCCTCATTATATAATATGTGTCCTCAGGATACTTACCATCCAGTCAGGAAACAGACATAAAAAGAAAAGGAAGATTGGAACATCTCAAATAAAAATTTTTAAAGGTGCTTCAATGACATAAGTTACTGAGCTAAATATTCTAAGCAACTTTTATTTATTTTAAGAAATGAGATATTTTTCAGAAACACTAATAATACAGTAAAATATCAGCCCTCGGGATGTCCTAAAATTGGGGGGTTAGTTAAGATATCTAGATTATTTCAAACCAAAAAATCCACTTTAATTTTAATGAAATAATGTAGAATTATTTTCAAGCATATATTACATCACTACACATTCTTTAAGTTTTTTATATTGTAAAAGCGTTATACGTACATACCTTTGAGAAACTTGCAATAAACAAGAAGAAACAGGCACAAGAATGTTCAAAATCACACTGTTTGTAACAGGAACGGTAAAGAGTTCAAGTGTCTACCAAAAGAGAAGGATTAAATTTAAGAGTTTTTATACAATAAAATACGACATAGAAGAAAAAATGAAATTATAGCTATTGGCAACATGGATGGATCCTCAAAAGCAGAATATGGAATGAAAAAGAGCCAACTCATGGAATATATAGAACAATACATGTAAGCATAATACCACCTTTATAAAACTCAAAGCAAGCAACCGTAATGTTTAAGGATATATACAGGGGTGTGCTCAGAGCAGGGGGCCTGAAGAAACGGCTCGGCTGTTTACAGCACACCCACAGGAACCTGGGTTCGCTGCGGCCTTCCTGTGAGCAGAAACCCCGCACCTCCACGTGGTGGCGGGGCGGGGCCAGGGCTGGCAGGAAAGCCGCAGCAGGTAGTGCGGGAGCTTGCCGCCCGAGCCGGTCCGGTCCACGCCTGGGTGGGCCAGGAGTGGTCTCATAAACG